TGGAGACTTCTGATGACGTTTTGCATTCTTGAAAGGAGTCCCATTTCTAAGGCCTAGAATTCTACCACGACCACATGTGAAATTAAAAAATGTTTCCACGGCGCGGGAAGTGAGACGTTATGGGCCTTTATTTGCTTGTGAACGCATGTGAAAGAGAGTGAAATAATTTATGATTTTCTTACATAAATCACAGGAAACAGTCTTTGCTTCACACAATAAAAGTGATGGCTCTGATTGCTGCGTCACATCTGTTTTGTGTACAAATTATAGCTTTGAAATTGGAGCGAGTGCTCATTTTCACTGTGGTAGGTAAAATGAGCTGTTGAAAAGCACCCCCTCCGTCTCAGGTACAGCTTTGCCCCATGGCCTGACTTTGGGCACATTAACACTTGAGTACGGAAATCATTCAGTCTCTGTTGTACATGGTGTTTTTGGTTTGGTGAGATAGATGATTGGAGTCAGTGTTCTGTATAGTAAACATACAGATGCAATGTCTTACTGTAAAGACTAATTTTTTAGTACCACTATGTTTTAAACCGAGGATGTACCAGTAATAACAATTAGAGTTTCATGGAGCTCTTATATGAGATATCGTTAGGCAGTTGAGCTGATGCCACTGAGCCTCTTAACACTACAGCATGTATAGAAAAAGCCTGAACGTTTTGTAAAATCTTCCTTCTTTATATTCATACATTTATTCACTGTTTCAAACCAAAATGTACGCAAGAAGATCAAAACCCAAATAGCAAAATATATTTGGTCCAGATCAGATCCACATACACTTCAATTAGGTCAACATAAGGCATGGAATTATCGCTCTGTTTTTTTAACATCCAGGCCACAAGATATTTCACCGAACCCAGTACTTCAGCCTCAAGGTTGGACATGGACATGTATTATATATATACATATATATACAGTATATATATATATATACATATATATGTCCTGCAGAGTCTGGCATCATTTTGGTTGACAGCGGACGTGCTCTACCAATTAATGTGTAATACGACTGCTTCAGCTTTATTTGCAGAGTAAACCAAAGAAACAGTAAATCCTCCTCCTGTTCAGTGACTATCATTACTGGACCAATTTATTGAAAAGCGAAGCAATGGTTCTGAAATCCTTGTTTTTGGACACTGACCAGCACATGAGGGGAGTCTAGCAAGATTAAGGGATTTCTGTAAATCTGGCATCAATCTAAGGTCATTACAAACGTAACACAATCCAAATAAAACAGTAGGTCTGGGTCCGCGAAGTGAAACTCACACACCGCAGGTTTATTTTACTTGCAAATTTCAGTTGTAACAACCATTTATTATTTGTCTCCACCACATAATTCGATTGGGTCATTTCTCATTGTTAAACAAGCGTGACCTTTGTGGGGTTCTGGAGGTTCATCATCATCATCATCATCATCATCGTCACAACCATACAGCACAAAACAAAGGTAGTCGACAGTACTTCATGAGAGGCGTGTGCTCACACTGTGGCACTGATCCCTATGAGACTCGCTTTTGTCTTGTATGTGTAGGTCGATCCCAAAGGTCCCACACACTGCTGCATTAATCATCACTGGGAATGAGAAAGAAGAAACAAAACCCCTCGCCTCGGGCTAAACCCAACCATTACTCAACACGCCAGGCGTGATGTTTGACTTGACTCCCCCAATTACAGCCATCACTGATCCCTCACTGCTCTCAGCTCTGACAGATACCTCTCGTCTATAAAGTGGAGAGCAACAAGGCTTAAGAAAAAAAAATGACATATTTGACATATTGATCTTAAATTGCTCGATGTGACGGTTCATTGAGATGGTTTAAAATGTTCCTTGTGTTTGTATTGTAATAAATCTACTCCCAGCAAAAGCTCACTACCTCACTATTGTGATCACTTTCAAATGGAAAATCTCTTGAGGAATGCTGTGTATGAGTGCGGGCTGCCAGCAGCCCACACATGGGATTGGTCAAATAGAAAGCAAATGCCATCGTAGGCACTGATTCATCTGTTTCCACAGGGCACAAGAGGAAAAATGTAAATGTGAAGTGTAAATGTTTGACTTGTTTGAGAACATGTATTTGTTGCCAGGACGGCTCCAATAGACCTGTTGTTTTCCCTGGGGACTTAACAGTAGTGTAATGGGATTAAATCACAAAGTTTACTTAATTTTAACGCTTTGATGTTATCACACAGTTCAGGTCAGTGGTCCTCAAATGACGGCCTACAAGCCAGATAGGGCCCATGAGAGGCCAATTTGTGGACTGAATCAGTCTAGCAAGAACGTCATGTTTTTACTTTCTCCTTTAAACAAGTACATTTATCGATGATTCGTACATGCATATTCATTTTTTAATTCTTGATTCTCTATATGTCACAATGAAAATCATTTCATTTTATTTTTTGTTTTGTTTTCGTTGTTGTTTTGAATTAAAGGGATGTTTTGTTTTGATCACGACAGTGTCGTGGCCTGTTGCTGGAACAAGTTAATGGACCTTTTGATTGGATGTAGAATGTTGGGTCACCATACCCCCCCCTCCCCCCCATCTCTCTCTCCCACTGGACTCATTGTGGACTTATTGTGGATTTGTATTTGAGTGACCCTGGTTCAGGTGAGTCTGTATGTTCGGTGCAGAGTGACACGTACAGAAGCGGATCTTGGAAACAATCACTTCCACACACAGTACGTCAAAGCCAGCTCTCAGGTTCTGGACGGAGGTGACAACATTTGGCAATGACACTATCCACCACAACACTGTCTTAAGAGTGATTATGTCATTACCCACTGATTGTGGGAGAAGGATGAAAAGAATGTCAGAGAGGGAGGCACTGAAGGCTAATCCTCACCGAGGTGTTCTCTTTCAGGACCCTTTCTATGGGGCTTTGTGAGGGGCTTACACGGCACGCTGCCCCAGTTTTTTGGGGCCGCACCGCCCCTATCGGATGTCCCAGACACAGCGGAGTCAGGCTAGGCCTGTGAATGACAGAATCAATGGGCTGGGAACAACATCACCATAAGTCTTTAAATATCTGCCCACCTAACTTTCCCAGGAGTTGTTACATCACGGCACTTGGTCTATAAGTGGCCGTATAAGGCCCATAAGGACCTTTGTTGAGTGTGTTTGTGAAGACGCCGCACGGGGATGAGACAGAGGAGTCAATTCCCAACAGGGAGCAATCCTCAGCGGGCTGGATGGTTGACACAAGGTCATTCTTCATAGCTTGTGCTTTTACAGGGCAAAGCAAGTCAAATAAACACCAGCAGGCCACAGCCACCTAGAATGTGTTCTTAAAGATACAAAAGAGACCTCACTGCTTGGTCCTAAGGCGGGGGGATGTGGTGGAGGTTACCGTTAGGAATCCAGAGACTGGCTGCTGGAGGAGGCAGAAGTGACGGCTGGTATACAGTGAGGGTTACGTGAGAATGCCAACATAATGGGTGGGCTGACAAGTAGCCTGTTGGAAAGCTTTGCAAATACGCAACACCCGCAATAAACCAATAAATAACTGAGCCATGGGCCGGGTCGAGCTCCTAGAACAGAGACAGCTCTGCTGTTTGGTCTGTGCAATATGTTGTGAATATATTTTTTATACAAAACAGATTCTACCTTTATTTACTGCTATGTTTTTGTGTACATTGACAGATTTATGTTTTATTCCTCCTAGTTCATAGGAGTTGTGCGTTCACTGTCCTGAATCATTTAAATCTTCTGTTCTGCGTCACGCTTATGAATCATGTCTCTTTTTTTCATAATCATCGAATCAGTTAGTATTTTATCTGCCTTTTTAAATATATTTTACAAACATCTGCAGAATGTGTAAATAACACATAGCTTGAAGCAGCATCTTATTTTACAGTAGAGGGTGCTATAAACAGGTTTCAGTTCACTGATTGTTGAATGAGGTTAAGTCAAAGGGGTTTAAGAAAATTAAAAAAAAAAAAAAAAAAGTCAAAGGGTTTTAAGAAAAATTTTAAAAAAGATACATTAATAAAGTAATGATTTTTAAGAAAATTTTTAAAAAAAGATACATTAATAAAGTAATGATTTAGCCACATGTGGGCATTTCCTATTCAATTTTTTTTTCTAGACTTCTGGGGGATTTTGGTCTCACCAGGTCACATCCTGTTTTTCACCTCGTCTATAGAGTAAAAACATATTTTTTCCAATAATTTTCAGTTCTGAGTAATAAACAAACAGATGTGAATAAATGGCTACTGGAAAGACAAATATTTCAACAGTTTCCATTCAAACTTTGATAAAAAAAATTAACCTAAATTTGCTCTGTCTACAAAATGTTATCTTTTAAAGTTCACAAAACCTAATGGAAAAAACACATAAAAACTCAACACTAGACAGAGATGTGATGATAAAATTGTTGGAGACATCTGAGAGACAAATCGAATTGGGCTTTATTTTTTAAAGTTTAAAATATTCCAAAAAAAAATTTTTTACTTTTATTGTCATTGTATTCTTATTGTATGTACTACTGCACTACTGTGCAGTACACAAAAATACCTTACTACTACCTTACTACTTATGGTGGTCCTATCTTATCTCATCTTGTCTAATCTTATCTCTGTGGTACGATACTCGGAAGCATCTTGAAGTCTTCCCACAGGCCGTAAAATTGGCAGCAGACACCCGCAGCGCTCACTAATTGATGCATTGATCAGCCTTTAGATGTCCACATTCCTGGCATACTTCCGGAAGTCATCCATTCAGTCTTTCACACATTTTGGTTCGTCTCACTGTCTGAGTCTTGACCTAGTGGGCTTCACCTGCCCTGTGCTGATTCTTTACCTTTGTCACAGATAATTCCCTGCATATTGTCTTTGACAAGTAGAAAATCGCACTTGGTCAACCAGACTTCGAACTCTATCCGTATCATTCAAAGCTAATATGCTGAGTCTCAGCAACAAAAAATACATAAAAATAAAACGACCCAAAACAGATCACGTTACTTTAACAAACTAAATAAAGATAAATATTTAATGACACTACCTTGCTTCCACCAATTTCCTCGCTGTTGGACAGGGTTGAATTGTAAGTCTCTGTGTGCTGTGGGGTGGTCTCCTTTGGCCTCTTTCTGTCTTTCTTGGCATCCACCCCATTCAGTAGGACACACTGAGTCCAAAACACTGCAGCTACCACAGCCAGAGGCCCGGCCCCACACCACCACATCTTCTCACTTCTTCTTCGTCTTCTTCACAGTCCAAAATAAAGAGAACCTGGAACGCCTGGAGCTGAGGCTGAGGATGCTGACACAGAAGCTGAAGAGCCAACAGGGGAGAAGGCAGCCGGAGGAATGCAGCTTCCAATAGACTGACAGGACTGACTGACTGCTGCCGCCGCTGCTGCTGCTGCCGCTGCTGCTGCTGCTGCTGCTGCTGCTGCTCCACTCTTGATGAGCTCTCAGCCAGTACAGCGATGCAGGGGCAGTGTTAAGTCAAGACACAGAGCCAGGAGGTTTACTCAACTATGAAATGTGTCAAGCAGAATGGTCCAAGGGAATGACAGATCAGCGCAGATCTGACAGCAAATAAACCCATTAGTGAGATTTTTCACGCTTTCTGCTCTGTTGGGGGGTTGTTCAGGGGGCACGGGGGGGCAAAGGAAGGGGCAGAAAGGCGGGGGTCTCCAAAAATTGAGGGTGGGCTGTGGGATTCTGAGAGATGGATGCAATATTCTTTTTTTTTTCCTTCAGCTCTTCCTCTGTTTCTCTCCTCTGCTGTTTCCTACAATGAACTTTGGCTCCAGTCCCCAGTGAAGTGGTTTGGTTGACAAAGAATCTGCAGGGTTTTTTTTTTTTTTTAGGAAAAATTGGACTTTTGTCAAATGATGCAAATCAGTACAAAAGCTGGCACGCCATAAACCTGCAGTGGTGCAAAGAGAGACAACGCCAGGAGGAGATAGACATCAGATGTTTCTTCTTCCACTTTCTCTTCTTCTTTAATTCCTTCTTGACTTCCTTCTTCTTTCTCTTCTTGGTTCTTTACAGGTAGCAGCCTGCTGTCGTCCCTGTCGGCTGCTACAGTCTGCTACTGATTCTCCCAGCAGTTCATCAGGTCAAAGGCCATGTGCAGAGATTTGATTTGTAGCAGGTCTCTCCTGGTTGCTCTCTCCAGTGCCTCTGGTCTCAGTTGCACCCTTGCTGTCTGACTAATCTTACGGGAGGGATCACGGTGGAGTTTTATCATCACCCTTTCTCCCTCCCTCTGCAGTTTTTTCCTGTCTCCCACTATTCTCTCCCTCAACCCTCTCTCTGCCTCTCTCCCTCTCTCGCTCTCCACCTCCCTCTTTCTCATTTTCCCTCTACGTACTCTCTATTGGCAACCTTACAGTCTTGTTCAGCTCTGTTTTATCTCATAGATGAAATGCTCCGTCTCAGGAGGTCCTCTGCCAAACACTTTGTGAGTGTTAGTGTGATATAAAATTGTGTGTTTGTCTTAAAGTCTGTTAAGGTGGTTTAAAATGAGTTCTCTCTTTAGCTCTGAGTAAGAAATGGAAGAAAATAAATTCTGTATTTATTTAATTTCATTATCTTGAGTAATTTGTTTTCTGTAGAAAGAAACCAAAGATTGACAGCTTTACTGCATACTATAGACATGCACAGTGTGTTTTTCTCTTTTTAAAATTTGTTTTTATTTCAAGTTAATTCTCATGCTCTTTTTTCTCTGCAAATTACATACATATTCTCTCTATTTATTTTGCAGGATTTTTTTCCTCTGTTCTGTTCTTTGTTATTTTTTTGGCAGGAAAAGAAAGTCATCCTTCCTATATTTTCCTCTGGATAAACAACACCAGTCTCGACTCAGTCGTTTTACATCACAACCTACACGTATTTGGATGTTGCTACCTGACGTTTAAATTTCATTTTAAAATAGCGACGCCCAGAGGAAGAGGCCTAAAGTACAACCAAATTCTCACCACCACAACTACAGTACAGTATAAAATCTGTAGTGGTCGGGACTTTTTGTCGTCTGAATCTTTCAATATCAACCGTGCTAGACTATCAAAATAAGATCAAACGTCAGCGTATTAGAAATCACGTATATACTATATGTACTGTACCTTCATATATTTATTTTCCCTTCGTTTCCTATTTTTATTACTGTATATGCATTTGAATTTATTATATTTATTATATATTTTTCCTACTTTTACTAATAAAAGTACTTTCAAAACCCCTTGAGTTATTGCATTTTTTTAAATTACATCTCCTGACCGACTTGACTGACTGACCTGCACTGCGTTACTTACTTATAAAATTGTTTACAGCAACAATATCCAGCTAATATTTAAGCAAAATAGTTTTTGTTATGTGAACAATTATAATTCAAATATAACTACAACATCCACACAATTCTGTTTATGGTAACAACATATTGCATCTGCATACTACATGTTGCAAATTTTGTACGAATTGGTAGGTCAACAGACCGGAAATAATAATCTGTAATCATGGTTTAAATTAATCAGATTGGGGTGAAACATCAGTCGATTTCACTCATTGAGGTGTTTTTTCTTTATTAAATTATATTTGTGAAACACATGCTGATCCACTTTGATCCATCAACATAATTTATGACGTTGACTATTTATTAATAGAACATTCGTTCTTTGTATTCCCTATCTATTTTCTAGTAGAATAATTCATAAATAAGGCATAAATGTATAACGTAAAAATAATGTAGACAGGTTTTCGGTACGTCATACGGTTTTCCGTAAAATTGCTCAATTTAGGTCTTTTATTGTGCAATTCGTTAAACGGAAGTCCTGGGAAAGCACCTCTCCTACGTATTCTCAACCCATTGGTCCAGGTCAGGCTAGTGGCTAGCACGCCAGCAGCTGTGACAGCTTGAGGGTGTTGGAGTTAAGTGAAACGTTTGCACCCCGGACTATCGTCCCTCTTCTGGATTAGGGTCTCCGTGGTGTTGTTTTGGCCTGAATCTTGAAGCAGCAGAGACGGCGTGTTGTTCGATAGCCACGTGTACAGGAACTGAAGCTCGACAGGTATGACTGCACTCACCGCCGCAGGTCTGTCTGAACATTAGCTTCCTGCTGTTTACACCGTAGCTAGAGGCGGTTTAACTTTTCTGGTTTCTTTTGTTTTTTATTTGTTTTTATATATATTGTTATGACACCTGGCACTAGACGCTTGAATTGTAGTAAATAATAAATATTAACAATGGTAATGCTAACTATTTACCTTTAGCTTACCCTTGCTGTTAGCCACTTAGCACAACTACGCTGTTCAAATTTGAATGAAATGACGTGGCGAGATCACTATCGGCGTCACATTTAAGAATGTAGTATTACCTGCCGTTCTTGTATTTATTTCTGTTGCTTACCACAAAACTACAAATTTCTTACACCCTTTGCGTTAAAGTTGTTGAATATACATAGATTTGTGACATTTTGTTCCAACGGTGAAGGCATATCCGTTCAGAAGTTGCTTTAGTTCCTATTTCATTTACACAAAAAAATGTTGGTGGACCTTAATCGCTGATTTTCTTTGACTGTTTATTTGTTAATTCGTGTATAACCCTCTTTCGACTCGTGCTCCATTTACAGACGTGCATTATTGTCGAGAAAGAGACGTGCTGATATTTACACTCTTTATTTGACATATTATGTATTATGTAATATTATGTAATTATGTAATTGTCTTTTGAAGCATTAATCCAGTCTTTTTTCAGTGAAGATAATACTTTAAATAAACATGTACTTTTTATCTATCCACTAATGACATTTTAAGTTGTGGTTTTAAAATGTTAGCTTAGCCTTTATTCTTGTAAGGAGCTGCCCATCAGTGCACACACCATGTTGTTTCACATAATATTAAAAAGAAAGAAAGAAAGAAGCGCTACATGATAGGAACAATTATTTGTGGTTGTAGTTGTCAATGGGGCAGTGATGGCCTGGTGGTTAAGATGGCAGATTTGTCTCCGGAAGGTTGCAGGTTGAATGCTCACCTGTAGCTCTGCTTGGGTTAAAGGCAGAGGACACATTTCATTGTGTGTGGTGTGCGTCAATTACATTAGTTAAGTTTCACTATGATGTTACATTTGCTGCCTGTCGGCTTTTCTGTGTCAGAGTCACAGTTCATGGTGTGGCCTTTAGCCACTCACATAGGACTCTAGACTAGAGTAATAAAAATACATCATTACCTAAGGACCAGCGATTGATAACTACAGTTAAACACAATGTTCAGGAATATAATAACTGCTATTGCCGCACTGTTTGACCACATATCATGCCCTATCTGTTCATTTTTTTTCTTTTGTTTTCAATTCACATATATATATGATTTCTAGTGTTTGCATCAGGTTAAAACATTTGCATGTAGTCTTTGGTGTTAGCAGCCTGTGTAGTGAATTGGACCGCCTGCTGTTATAAATCCTATAAAACCCAAGTAGACTGAAGGATGCTGCAGGCTCCGGCAGCCTGTGTGACATTAGACCTAACTTTTTCAAAATGTATTTTTTCACAGAAGATCATGACACTTTGGAGGAAAGTGTGGTGCAGAAATATCCTGGCTGCATCGCTGCTTTTCTGCTTGATGCTGTTCGCCATTGTTGTGCACGCCCGCCCAGCCAACATGTCAGCGGCCAAAGACAAACCTCCAGCCAATAAGGACGAGAATGAGATTCTCCCTCCAGATCACCTGAACGGTGTGAAGTTGGAGATGGACGGCCACCTGAATAAAGACTTCCACCAGGAAGTTTTTCTGGGAAAAGAAATGGAAGAGTTCGAGGAGGACTCCGAGCCGCAGAAGAACAGGAGGAAGCTAATCGACATTTTCCACAAGTAAGCATTTTTATTCTTCTGCCAAAGTTTGAAATATAACAGATATTCCTTTCCTGGGAACTTGGGTGTATGTTTGATTTTGTGGTTGGTGTTTGATCAAAGTACACATAATGAGTTTAAGATACACAGACTAATTTCTTTTTAATTTGTCTCCATTAGCTCATAAATTTGAAAGCCCAAATTTGACAGACTGACCATTTAGGTCAATAAAAACTGTCAACTTTTTCCTAGCTGTTTGTCATTCCAAGTGAACTTTGTCACTCAACGCAACAACAATATTTTTATATTTGGAAATAAAACTAAACAACAAATAAAAGTCAACTAATGACACTCCTGAGTTATCTTGGATTTCTTTTGACCAGGAAATGTTTGGATTCAAACACTACACTTTTCAACTTCTGCATCTTGAAAGTCTCTCCATCTTCTTATCGTGCAGGTTTAATATTCAGCAGAACTATTCCCTATTCCTATTCCCTGAAATATTTTTTACATTTCATTAAAACCAGACAGATGATTGCAGTCATCCATGTTCTGAGACTGATGTGATATCAGACCATAATTGTCTTTAAAAATAATCTTCTCACAGAGTCGACTTCAACAAAGACCGCAGTGTCAGTGCCAAAGAGATGCAGCGTTGGATCATGGAGAAGACAGAGGAGCATTTTCAGGAGGCCATGAAGGAGAACAAGAACAGCTTCCATGCTGTTGACCCAGATGGAGATGGTAAAAAAATCAGCTTTTATTGAACGTCACTCAAACGCTGTCTTCTATTTTGTTATGATTTTGCCCTACTGCTGGAATTGTAAAGAAAAAATTACTTGTGTCCACAGGTCAGGTGACATGGGATGAATATCGAGTCAAATTTCTGGCCAGTAAAGGTTTTATTGAAAGCGAAATTGCAGAGAAGATCAGGAACAACGAGGACTTGAAACTGGATGAAGAAAGTATGTCTGTGATGTGGTGCACACCTGAGCATCAGCACTGATTTATATTTGAATCAATGTGATTCACTTCACTCATCTTCACTAAATGAATTCTTGGAAGAAAGTTTTTAAAAGATTGAGCATCCATTTTTGTGTCCCATCATCACTCCAGCTCAGGAGGTTCTGGAGAGTCTGAAGGACCGCTGGTTTCAGGCCGACAGTCCTCCCGCGGACCAGGTGCTGAATGAGGAGGAGTTCCTGTCGTTCCTTCACCCTGAGCACAGCAGAGGAATGCTGCAGTACATGGTCAAAGAAATTGTACGGGACTTGGGTACGAGTCTTAAAAAAAACCCTGAAGGAAATCATTTTTATTTATTTATTTAACATTTACAAACAGCAATATCATTTATTATGGATTGCACATTAAAAAAAAACAAACATCTTATTTAAACATTTTCTTTTTTATCCTTTTCTCCAAAAATATTTATTTTATATTTTGTGTTTTTTTGACAATTTTTCTGTTTTGTTGTGTTTCTTTAGCTCCTTTTATTTATTTATTTTTTATATTTATACTTACTTCAGTTTTTTTATTATAGACCCTTTTCAAAGAAGCAACAGTTATGATCATGGTTACTTTGACGTTTTAGGTTTTGTTTTTGTTTTTTCAGATCAGGATTGTCATTTTGACGTTTTAAGTTTTGTTTTTGTTTTTTCAGATCAGGATGGCGATAAGAAACTGACTCTCTCAGAGTTCATTGCGTTGCCCGTGGGCATTGTGGAAAACCAACAGGCTCAGGACATCGATGACGACTGGGTGAGGGAGAGGAAGAAGGAATTTCAGGAAGTCATCGATTCTGATCGGAATGGCATTGTAACTATGGAAGAACTGGAGGTGAGTCATGAAAGTTTTCTGGAAAATATTAGTATAGTATGTTACATTTGTTCAAGGGGGGTTTGCCAAAAAAATCAAGTTGTTTTTTTTTTTTATTCTTTTTTTAGAGACTTTTTCAGGAACTTATTAGTGTGGTATGTGACTGCAATGATAGACATACTAAAAAAAGTATATTTTTTCTAAATTTAACTGATCAATGATAGACATACTAAAAAAGTATAATTTTTCTAAATTTAACCATAAAAAAGTGACTAACATTTTGATACTCTTAGCAGAAGGCTAACAATTATAAAAGAAGTACCATTCAGGGAAAAAAGGCAGAAGGCCAATAGTTCAAAAAAACTGTTAGCTTTGTGGCTAATTTCTTTGCAAATCTGAACTGTTTACAATACTTAATACAGCATTAACTGTCCTTTCATGAAAATTCAAATTTCTAGTACATTGCCTCTTCAACTTTTCCCTGATTCTCAGTACACAAAACTTGGTATTTGGTTCGTACTTAAATGTGAATGACTCTGTGACTCTGCTCACTGTCTTTAGTAGACTTCACTGAAAAGTATTTAATAATGTCTCCTCTTCTCCAGGAGTACATGGACCCCATGAATGAACACAACGCTTTAAACGAGGCCAAGCAGATGATCGCCGTCGCAGACGAGAACCAGAACCATAGTCTGGAGCTGGATGAGATCCTCAAGTACAGCGAGTACTTCACAGGTAGCAAGCTCATGGACTATGCCAGAAATGTTCACGAGGAGTTCTGAAGACTCGTGTCATTGGTTGCTCCAAAAGATGGACTGATATGCTCCGCCTGCGTCAGGGATCAACCCAGGAACGGGCCTAACAGGTGATGGGGTGTCATAGCGTGCAATTGTGTATGTGTGTTTTGTTTATGTGTGTGTGTTGTGCGTGCGTGTGTGTGTGTTTTAAAGCCTCTTCTTCCACTGCTCCTCTTACAACAATGCACCATCTGTAAACATCTCTCCTCTGTGCTTTCAGCCTCCGATGTTGAAGCACAGCAACAACGCTAAATCAATTCACCGTTATTCTGAAAAACGTGTGTGTGTGCGTGCGTGTGTGAGTGAGGTGAGAGAGACTGTAGTCACCAGAGCACACTGAGCTGCAAATGTTGTGACATCCTCCGCTTCTCCGTCTGTGTACACAGTGTAAATATAATTATTGTCATATAGTAGAAGTGCAAAATAATTTTAATGCTGCTTAAAAACATAAATTACAACGAACTAGAGATGCCATTCAAATATATACCATATATGTCGTCACTTTACTTCAACTTTCAAATTGAATTCTGCTGGTAGAGGTGCAAACACCATTTGTCTATAATGTATAGAATCCATCCTTGGTTGATTGAAAACAAAGAAGGTAACTAAAAATGTCAATTAAGATTACATAATTTGCATTCACTTTATATGGCTGGGATTCAAGAGATTAATATATAAGTGATTTGACTTTGACAGTCAAAAAGTGTTTAGACAAAAGGAAGGAAAATATTTTCTGTTATTGATTTGAAAAGAAAAATACCATTTTGGTTTATAGCCCTGTCGGTGGGGGGTGGGGGGGCAGAGGGCATGGGTGAGTGTGTCCACAGGATGTCTCCATGGCGATTGAAGGACAGTTAGTTGTCCATCTTACAGTTAGTCAAAGTCCAAGTTTAGTTAAAATATAAGTAAAGAGAAACTCATTCATTCCCCTGTTGAGCGTGGACGTGTGTGTGTTCTTCATCAGCTGATGTTGAGCTTCACTCTGGTGGTACGGAGGATTAGGGATGAACCTTTCATCACTGTACACACCTTATTTCTGCTTGTGTCCTGTTCCTGAATGCATGCACAAATAGAGAAAGTTCCATTATTTTTCAGTGACCTGTGGACATGTGTGACATGAAAAAGGATTCAGTAGCGTGTTAACTGATTTATAGAATAAATTGCAAATATACTGGTAATAAATAATTCTTCTAATGTAACGCAAATCACTGAAGTGTTGTATTTTTTACGTATGATTCAGTTTTTATCGAAGAATAAGTGTTGGCGATTTGCCCATTTTTCTTTTTTAAGATCTGGCAGAATTTATTCGTTGTCTCAAATTTGTTGTTTGGATTTGTCATTTTGTCCAAGGGTTCTCTAAGTTACCGTAAATATTTTTTGTTGTATTCTTAAACCCTACCATCAAACCTGGCCTTACATCTAAACCCTAAAATAGTAATAAGAATACTATAAAAATACTGTTTGAAGACATTTATATGAAATTATTAATGTAGTATGTTGCTTTTGATCGTTACTCACTTTTGTGAGTTTAACTTTATTTAACATTATTAGTATAATATCTGACTGTGATGAATGCTGGACATAGTGAAAAAGTTTATATTTTTTAAATGTTAACCCTAAGACAGACCATTGCTATGTATTTTAAAACAAATTGAATTTCAATTTTTTCCAAAACATTTTCATGAAATCTTTTCACCATCTGACCAAATATGATATGCAAAGTTAGGATCTTTCTGAGGAATTCCCCCACAAAATGTTTTCTTAAAACAAATCCTAAAACTGCAGAAAATATAACATTTTGCAGAAAATATAGAATTTTGGAAAAATGTTCATCAAAAATGTTCATCAAAATCTTTTCCCATCGGACTACATCACATGAAAAATGAGAATTTTACCGAGAAATTCAAAAAAAAAGTTCTAAAAAATTTCTTCTCAATTTTGATAAGAAACATGCAGAAAAGATAACATTTTTAATTTGTTTTAATTTTCATCAAAATCTTCACTATTTGACCAATATGACAAATTCAGATTTTGTGAAGAATTTCCAAAACCGTTTTTGCTAATTATTTTTTTCAAAACGCAAAAAGATAATTTTTCTAAAACATTTTTCAAAATACATTTCTAAAAATGTTGTCTAAATGCCCTAATTTTTTGGTACGCCAACTTTTGATCACAGTTACATACTATACCAATAAATTCCTGAACTAATCTCCGAAAAAATTTCTCAAAATTGACCAAAAATACACTCATTTGCCTTAAAATACTTAGCTGTGTCCATGTTTGTGGTTAAAATTCAGAAAAAATTTACTTTTAATTTAATTTTACTTTTTTAAGTTCACATTTTGACAAAAATACAAAAATAAAATGAATTTCTATAAATGTTCTCTAAATGTCCTAATTTTATGAAAAATATGCAGGAAAAGATAACATTTTTAAAATTAATTTAACAAATATTTTTGTCAAAATTCTTTAGTTTTGACCAACAATTAAATAAAAATTCACGTTTTGACAGAAAACTTCACTTCACGATGGTAAGGCTATAGTAAGG